ATAAATTATGATTTAAGGATGTTAATTTTTCTTCTTCTTGTTTGCTGGGTCCTGTTAAACCTTTTCTTTGAATAATGCTGAAAGTGCCATAAACTTTAATTTTACACCAAACAAATGAAAAATCTGTTGACTTGACTATTCACTAAGCAAACTATTTGAGAAAAATTAACTTGAATTCTTGAAAACTTTTGAATTTTTCAAACCTAACAAAACTAATGACGTTGCTAGAAATCCGGGCGATAATCAAATCCAGGCTTAACCCCATTCACCGCAAGCAATTAAAGTTGTCGCAATAATTGCATTTTCTACACCAAGACGCTAACCGAGAAACGCATACAGAAATATATGTTGATACCAACGAGCACAAGAATTCATTGCCAAATATTTCCTGCCGTAGTCTCACATTTCTGGTGGCAAAGAAACCAAAGCCAATTCAACAATTCACAAAACTTACTGCCAGTTGAAATTCCACTGCAAGCGATAAGACGGTCTGAACTGTATTACTGAGATACTAAAAAGTTTTACCTTTCCCACTGTCTTTGCTAGAATTTTGTTTAGCGCACACAGTTTAAATGTTGAACGCACTCACTTCTCACAAGAAACAGACAGTCTGATTGTGAATGACTGGATTGCTTTGGATTGAATTGGATTGGATGCACAGTATCCCAGCGGATTAGGAAACTTTAAATTGTTGTGGCAAAACAAACAAAAAGAGACGACACACGCCCCTTCCTCCCTACTGAACTGAAGTAAACCCACGCTATGTTGCATATAAAATGTAAGAAATAAAAAAGAGCAACGAAACGATTAGTACTTTGACGTCCTTTACCAAAGTTTAAAGGTCATTTAGAAAGCATGAGGGTGTGCGGCGTGGATTATTTGTCAGAGGCATACTGTGTTTTTTTTTAGTTAAAGATGAATTTGGCAGCGATGGGTAGCTTAGCCTGAGATGTGAAATATTTTAAGAAATTTATTAGCAGAGCTTCAGAATATAGCAAAGAACGTTTATTTATTCTTGAATTGTGATAAGGCAAAACTAATTATCCTCTACGACTTCTATGTACCGTAAACATTTTATACGTTGTGTTAAGATTTTGATAAAACGACGATTTTAGTGCAGGTGAATATAGACTAAAAACAAAATGAAAGGGTTGAAATACTGGAATATTGTTGAGAGGAATCTTAACTAAAAAATATTTAACTAAAAAGTAAAGCAATAGAGTGGAGAAATAAAAAGGAATAAAAAGTACTCATTAAATTTTCTAAATATGAATAAATGATATGCCTAGTTATTAAAAATATCGTTGACTATATTTAGTATAAAAAATATAGAAGATGGTAAATACAATAGAGTTTGTCTCATATCACCAAGATCAAACAGGATTAACATTATTGGTGGCATTTCACCTTAACACATATATACATATATGCGCCAGTTGTAAATAAAAAGTCTCTTTCGTTGAATGTTCTAATAACGTTGGAAGGTCTGTACTATATGATCTGGTCTGTACTATTTCAAATTGTGCTATCGTCCATATAAAAACTGAACAACGCAGCTAAGCAAAGGTTAAAATAATGGCTGGTTATGCCAGCTTAATTATAATCTCAGCAAGTTTCACTTAAAACATTATTTTGAAATATTTAATAATAGAACACAATAATAAATAATATTACTTTAGCAAAAGTAAAAAATATGCTGTTTATGTGATAAATCAGTAAATGAACTTAGGAATCTAGGGTTATAAAATCATAGTCTTTTAGTTACAGTAATTACTTAGATCTGAAAGCAGTAACACCGTAAAATTCATTTCGGACTAAATTTGTCATAACGATATTCAATTTATTCCAATCATAATCAATCATAGAATATATGAAGTGTAATAAGTACCTTTGGGGAATGTTATATCAAACACCAAATATTTCAAATTTATATTAAAAATATAACAATTTTCTGATCTCAATTTATAGTTGAAAATAGAATAAATAGAATAAAAAAAATAGAATAAAATAATGCTGCACAAAGGCACTAAAGAGTTTCATAACGTGACAAAACTTATATGATAAATGCTCTATTGAATGCAATAATGAGAATATTTGGTATCAAGGACAGACCCCAAAATTATTCACAAAAGTTAATAAGCTGCCCACCCTCGCCCTAACAAACCTTAAGTCCATATCAAGACACACAGGAAGATATGCTGATCTACGGTTCGTCATCAGTTAGAAGATAAATAAATTATAATGATTCTAATATAGTTAAAGTTTAGTGTGGGGCAGGGATAAGCCCCCCAGCCACAAAAGAGTAAAAGTGCGCAATTGCACTAACTCAAATCACAACAACAACATCAAAATATGCTGTGATGGGTTCTGACTTTCATTGATTATTGAAATTCCAATTTGAAAGAGAATGTGAAAAACAGGGTCTTGAAAACAGTTAATACAACTTGGGTTACAGGTTTATATAGGATGTGAAATAATATACTTTTAAAATATCCAATATATTGATTTTGTTAATTTTTCTATATAAAATACTAACAATTCTTGTTTTATTTAATAATGTCGATCACTTTTTTTAATTAAGAGATTAGTTTATTTCGTAATTGAAGTATTAGAAACGTTAAGAGTTTTATTATATATATTCTATTTAACACGGAGAAAAAAATTTAATTTGATAGGATTTTTTAAAACATTATTTAAAAAAAAGTCAATAAAAAACCCCACCAATTGAGTGTACTTTTTTTATTTTTCTTTAATTAATTTTTATTTAATTAAACAGATTTCCCTAATGTTATATTTCATCTATCAACTGTATGGTATGTGCTCTACAAAAAAATTTTTTTTTATATGTTATAAAAAGAAATGTTTTAAGGATTTATTATAAATTTGTTGAAAAAAATAAAATATGTATAAATGTAATAAGATTTAATTAAATTACTAGTTATTTTCTTAGAGTAGAGAATTTTAAGAGAAACAAAAGATTATATTATGCAAAAGAAACATCATATAAAAAGAGATGATAATTATATTGGATTTTGGATGCAGCAGGAATCTATCTTTGAAAAGTCTATTTTAGTTGCGAACCCTCAAGTAACATATATGTATATAAACCTAAAGATGTCTTTATTTTTTTACAGTTGTGGTGGGATTTGTTAACATCTTTTTAAAAAAAATATGAAAAATTTTAAGTGAATACTAAAAGAAAGGTTACTATTTGAAAACTTGTCGAAAGTCAAAAAATTCAGTAATATAATTCAGCCTCTTATAATATAATAGAACAGAATTTCACTATTAAAAAGAAAATGTGATTACTAATATTAATTAGCCTCTAAAGCAAGCGAATTTGTTAAGCTTAAAAAGTTAGAACAAGGCAAGTGAAGTACAATCCTGGTACGTTTAGCTAAATCGTGGATCTATATATCAAATGTGAAAAAGTTTAAATTCAAACTAAACTAAATAATGTCCTTTAACAAGGACTCATTTATTCACTATGTTTTTATCCACTCAGCAAAATTATAAATGATTATATATTGGAATGACATCAGTGAATATATATCACTATATTCTGTGACTAATTTTCTCTGAATTTCAACCTTCTATTTTTAATTAATGATTTTTTCAATTATATTTTTAGTAAAATGGTTAATTCATCTAAGGGACTTTTATTCTTAATACGAAAAATCCTATCAATGTCATTTTAAACTGTCAGAATTGACAGTTGAGTTCCAAATGTCACATTGTGAGCTTTGAATTCAGTGTTTTCTGTTTTTTTTTATTAATTGTTTTTGTTATGTTATTTTATTTTTTTTTTTGTTGTTTGCTTATGTACTTATCTGTCTAATTTTTTGTATATATAACACAGAAACCCCACTGATTCAGTTGCACATCCTTTTGTGCTCTCGACTGTATTTCCTCTTTATTCATTGTGCGATTTTTGTATTTATTTACTTTATATTAATTTTTTTTTTTATTTTTCAACTTCCCGTATTTTATTTCCTTTACTGCGAATAATGAGGCTAACAATGGCATTTCGACCCAATTTTCAAAAGTAAAACTTACTTCTACACGTCACGACAGCCAGGCAGGTTGGTGGTGGCGACACATGTTCGCCGTTGCAATCAACGCCAAGGTTTCTTCTGATACTTTGACACGTTGTTCCTATTTAAATAAGACGTCCCGATTTCCTTGTTCCTAAGGTGCGTATTGCGTATATGGCAGGGACTCTAACTTAACTTAACAAGTTGCTTTGTGGGTGTTAAAAAAAAGATGAGTGAACGTACAGTTCATGCGTTTCTGTGTGTGTGTGAATGCTGGTGTGTGTTCTCTCCTTATTCATTGATTTTGTTTCAACCATGACTCGGTTTTTTTATTTTTATATCATTTTTATATTTTTGTGCTTTTCGTAAGAAACAAAAAAAGGAAAAACTTTGTGAATGTGTGACGCGTCACAAACGTGGTGAAAACAAAAAAGTGGCAACACTGTTTTTGACAGATCAGCAAAAACGCAAAAAAGAAAATCGTGTTTGGCGCATTTTGCTGACAGTTGAAAACAAAAATTTCAAAAAAAAAATAAAATGAAATAAAAGGACAATGTAAGGGAAACCGTTGACGAAAATTTCAAAGATATTGTTGAAAACAGTCTTGATTACGTGCCATATCAGAATTATTTTATTATGGGTTTTTTCTCTATCTATATTCACATACTAAACTATACATACCTGCTCTTCTACCTTCCTTTTTAAAGAAAAATAAAATTTACAAATATAGTGACACATATGCATGTTTTGGAATATAAAGATAGGCAAATAGATCCAGAGTTTTGTTAAATTAAACTTAAAAAATTAATAAAATTTTATTTAAATAATACTATTTATTCTTAATCGTATTTATTTACTAGTATATTAGTTATTTAAAAAGCTATTTATTTAACAAATTTTTTGTTTTTTTAAGTTAGAAAAATAATGTTGAATACTTTGAAATGTGTTCAGAAAGTTCGGAAAAAACTATTTTGTTAAATAATTTAAATTATGATATAATGTAACTTTAATTAGTAGTAATACGATAAGTTAATATAAAAATACTAAGGAGGTACAATCAAAGAACATAAAGATGCACTTACCGCTTCGACTATCACTTTCAGCTGGCTTGAGCTGTAAAGCACGGTTCATCTGAAAATAAAAATTAGAAAAAATTAATTAATGCTCGTGAATTTCTTATCAATTGGAGCTAATAATTATTAATAAACTATTTTAAAAAGGTTTTAACAACAAAAAGATTTGACTTTATTGAAAACAAGATATTTTAAAAAATATTTAATATATGCTTACAATTAACTGATTTTCTAAACCGATTCTAAATCTGAAGTAATAATCAAAAGCAGTAAATATATTTTTGGTGATATATTTTTAGATACTTTGAATAGATCAACCAACGTCAAATTTCTAACTATGGTAGTGTTGTTCAAACCATAATTATAGCTATTCAAGAGTTTAAATAAGTGGTATGGTTAGATTAGGTTAGGTTACTGGGGCCGTCCGAAGACTCACTTAGACCATAAGGTCCATTGTGATACCCTAAAGAATTTGACACCTGTCCCTATAACCAGTTGGTACTGGCCACAAAGCCATTGACACGAGCTATGGAAATAGAATCTAGTTCTCTTAGTGAATTGAAAAAGTGTGACCATAAGTAGGAGAGTCTATGTCTTGCGAAAGTAGGACACTGTAGAAGAAGGTGTATTGGTGATTCCTCTTCATCATCCTCCATGCAATGTCTCATGAGCCTCACGACATGTCCTCCCAACGGGCAGTGTCTCGTAATAATTCCTACTATCTTCGATAAAATTGCTCGGGATAGATTAATTAACTCCCCCGATCTTTTCTTACTAATTTTTGGCCAAAATTCCTTGGTTTTTATGCAGTTGGTTACTGTTGACCATCTTCTTTCAAACATTTGGTATGCCCATAATTTTACTCGGTGCCGACAAGAAGCAATTGGTATACCCACACTTTCTTTTCCCAGAAGAATTTGTGCTGTAGTACCATGTCTTGCTAATTCATCTGCTATACAGTTACCTTGGATATCCCTATGTCGAGGGATATAAGTGGTATAGTATGCATATATTTTCTCACAGATAACCAAACTGCTACTCCCAAACAGACAATATGTCGACGATAATGATTTTATTGCTCATATCTCAGTGAAATAACGTTAACCTAATTTGAGTTCCGGGACATACTAATGTGAAAAATCGTAAAGTTGATTTTTATGTCTTCAGGAATAATCAGACAGCCCAACAATCACTCAGTATACATTATTTTAAGAGCATAGACATTTTATTGCTTATCTCTCAGTATGGTAAGTGAAGCAAATAACGTTAATCTAATTTTCTTCCCTGGTCACGCTAATATTGTGAGTTGTCTTAGAGCTGATATTTGTGCTTTCATAGCTAGTTAAAGTATAATCAACACATTCATAAAAATAAGACACAAAGCATAGCCATTATGTAGTTTTTCTCACAATATGATAAGTGAATCAAACAACACTCATCTAACTTGATTTAAATGCCATATAAATAACTATGTTATTGTTCAGGACAGAAGACGCTACCTCAATGTAGTCTGGAATATTGATTTTTCCCTACTCTGTACAAATATATCAAATATAGATTTACCGAAACTTTCCAACTTCATCCGGAAGATAAAGTTGCTTTAAGTGATAGCACATGAAGTTATAATGGAAATAGCGGGTAGTGTGGCTGTCTCTAGAACATTGTGTTAATCACAATAGGTAATCGATGTCTTTAAGTGAAGGTGTTAACATTCGTGTTAAGAGCCGCCTTCTCAATATGCGTGGAATATATCGGAATAAATATTAATAAGAATGCAAAGAAGTGCAAAAAATAATAATAGTATAAAGTTTGAAGGAATTGTATACTCTCTGGTTAAATATAAATATGTCCAAATTAAATAATAAATTTATTATACAATTTTAAATTATTTTAAAAAATAATTAAAATAAATAACTTCTGAATCATTCTATATTTTCTTTTAAATTAATATTTTTAAGGTTAAGCTTTTATATTTTTAAAATTTTGATAAAAGTATTTATATTTATATATTTCAATTAATTTAATTATATGAAAAAATAACAATTATTAAACAAAACAAACTGATTCTATGCATATATAGAAAATTATTTTATTCTGTAAAAAAAACAACTATAAAGAATTCTACAAATTTGATTAAAGAAAACAGTAATCGAAATTTACTGGTGTCAATTGTATCTATCAACGGGAATATCTCCGAACCGTGTACATTGTTCCTTTCACCACATAACAAAGTGTTGTACAATGTCCCCGTCTGTATTTAAATCCACTTAATACCGCCATGTCTGTATATGCGATGTACATTTTTTATTATTTATCCTTTCGACCACTTCCGCTTCAAGCATGATTTAAGCTTAAATCTTGTTCATTCTTTTAAACCCCACACATTCTGCGGTCAGTCACTGTAATTCTAATAGAAGTAAAGGAAAAACAAAAAGAAAACAAAACGAAACAAAACAAAATATGTGAAAAATCCTTTAAAATAAAAAGGAAAATGAAAAGCAATATAATTGCATTTTACTTAATTTTCTTGTCTTTCTTCTCTTTCTACTTTGTCTCAGTCCTCCATATTATTCTATTCTATTTTATTTATAGTAAGAGTCATTTTATGCTTCTTCTTCTTCTTCTGTCGTTAGATTTGCCGTTGACGTATTGGTTGTACATTAATGTTGTTTTTGTTGTTGTTTTTGTTTTGCAGCAATCATGTGTAAAATCCTTTGCAAATCACCGGAAAATGAAAGGTAAAATGGGTTAAAGCTATGCCGAACGTTCAAAGGGCAAATAACTAAACAAAATGTGTAATACATGCGAAATTGAAATTGAAGTTTGGTTTGAATGGATAGTTGGTTTAGTGGATGGGAATCGGGGGATCGGAGAAGCGGCTCAATTATTTAGAACTCATTCACTCATTCAGTGATTCAGTGGGTAGACATCGGAATGGTAGTGTATTTATGTTGATGGGCATTTATTGGATAATGGCGCAAGCAACGATTTACTTAAAATATTCATAGAAATAATTTATTTTGTGGTAAGTGACTTCGATTAAGAGTTTATTGCAAAATTCGAATGTTTATATGAATTCAATTAATCTGACCTTTCAATCGAAGTGCATGTAAATGCTTGACTAATGTGTAAAGAAGATGAATGAAATAGCAATTACAGTCTCAGTTGAGACTTGGAATGGTGCTGTGAGAAGATGTCGGGTGTTCGTCGGTGCACTAGCAAAGGTTTTAACATTTTGGGAAGAATTTAAAAAAATTTGTGTCTTTCAAAAATGAAAATTTTAAGAACAATTTTTTTTACTGGAGAAATAAGTTAAGGAGTTTAAGTTAATTGTCAATATAATTAAGGAGTGGTATGTTAATTTAAAATATATTTATTTTTGCCTTTAGTTAAATTTAACATTTTTTACAGTGTTTTTAAAAGCTTTACTTAAAGAAAGTGTTTTAATTTATATTTCTTTTCAAAAACTTATGACTGACTCTAAGCACTCTAGAGACTTACAGACTTATAAAAATCAATATGTAAATATTGATTAGTATTTAAACACAAAACCTGATTTTATCACTATACTACAAAATATAAAGATTAGTCACCAAAAACCATTCTAACTGACTAATTAAGCTACCGGCAATCGAAATACTGATGAAATTTGTATATGAAGATATGTACGGTATTGTTCCATAGACCAGAATAGAAAAAAATTTTAATAGCGAATATATTAGAGTGACATATCATAATCGGCATCATAAATATATATCATCATATATATACCATCATAAATATAAATATATGAATTGATCTACGAATTACGCTTTATGTGGTGTCCATTATTACCTACAAGTCTCAAAGGGAAGATACAGGAAAGAAGATTTAAAGAAGTATTTCTGGACTTTTCAAAAATCTTCCTTGTAAACAATCTTTTTTGGGGATTTAAAACAGGTATATATATATTTATTTTTTTGCTTTTATTTAGCGAGGAGTTGGAAAGTTTTATACATCATCGAATCGACCGTAGTCGAAATCGTGAGTGCGACTCCCTAACATATTAATGTATATTATACCCATTAAAACACCCTCTCTTCGGAAGGACGTATTAGAATCAAAATGATTATACTATAATCATAGTAAATCTTTGTTTTGCATATAGTAACGCGTCAAGTTTATTATTTTAAAAGATTTGAAAAAACTATGCCATCACACATTGGCCATTTCCTTAGGGGAAGCAAATTACTCCTTTTGTTATTAACTCCTTTAAGTTATTAATCTTGGTTTAACAGTTGTAGATCATGATATGACGAGTAAAGTAATTTCCCTTCTCAGTTTAGTTTTGTAGATCACTAACATAAGTTTAGAATGATAAAAAAGTAATAGTGTTTAAATGAAAAATCACAAGAGCATGCAATGTATAAAAAAATCTAGTTCTTATATCTAAAAATAATAGTTTTGAACTTCTAGCTTATTGAAATGAAAGAAGAATACAGATAATAATGAATGAGTCTATATTCTACCCAAAATAATTGATGGGTCTATATTGCGCCAAATGGGTTTAAGCTGTCGATTTTGAACCCTAACTATGAACCACTCTTTTCTTTTTTGCAATATTTTCTTGATGATATGGTATATAACTTTGATATGCTTTGATATAATCTATAGCTAAGTATTTGACTTTAAATTAAATTTTTATACTATTTGTATTTAGACGATTCCGATAAAATTGGTCAGTGTTTCGCTGTATTAGTTCTATGGAGAGCTTTTTCCTATTATTTGCATTTTTATCAGATGTTTACCTTTTATAATAACAAGGAGTATATATAATAATATCAGTGATACAGATCACTCTTTATTGGTGTCATCAATCCAGCCACTGAAATTGTTTCATTCGTGATAAGAGTATATTTAAAACCATAATACATAGTGCAAAGTTTCTTCCAAAACTTAATTCCTCAACTTGTGTGTAATCATAGTGAATCCGGCTATTTCAACGCAACTTTAAAGTTGTTCTTAAAATTTTCAAGCTAAATTGAAAATGCAACAATACTGTGGCATTATAATTATTTT